CTTGACGTTGGTGAAATAGATCTATGTACATGTATTTATAGGTTTAGTATTAAGGTAGCAGATGGACATTGGGCCTCTACTGAAGTACTCCCTCAATGCAAGAACACTTTGTTCCATTAACCTAGTATTCCATGATGCTCACCTTCCCAACAAGATCACTGAAGACAAAGCGGGTGCATAAGCAAATGTGGTAAAGAAAGCTGATGGTGCCCGGCTATCAAAATATATAGCCTCTGGGGTCTTAAACGCTTGAAGATAAACAAGTTGCCATCTAGCTGAGAAGTAAAAAAGCCCACATGGAAGAAGCACACCAGCCTGTGTGATCATGAGGTGTCGACAGGACCAGATATCAGGTATCAAAGATCCTGAACAAAAAAGTATATAATTGTGAATGAGGGGTAGTGTGGAGTGGAGACCCAAAGTCCATCTGTAAACAAGTGGACATCCCCTTAAAGAAGGGTCCCAGGGAGGAAACAAGCCAGTCAGGGTGAAGTATAGCACCACTGAAACATACAACTTTCCTCTAGTACTTTAATGCTTCCTCCCCCCACTATCATGACCCCAATTCTACCTTACAAATATGGCTAGACCTGAACATGTACATGGATAAAGATAAGAGCTGGAAACACAGATAATACAGGATAGATAAATTCCTCTGGACCAATATTGAGAGTAGCCATACCAGGAGGTTAAGGGGAACATCGGGGAAAATAGGGGGAATCAATCACAATGATCTACCTATAACCCCCTCCCAGGGGGGAAGACAACAGAAAAGAGGGTGAAGGGAGACATCAGTCAGTGTAAGACATAAGAAAATAATAATAATTTATAAATTATCAAGGGTTCATGAGGAACAGAAGGTAGGGAAAAAATGAGAAGCTGATACCAAGGGCTCAATAGAAAGAAAATGTTTTGAAAATGATGATGACAACAAATGTACAAATGTGCTCAGCACAATGGATGTATGTATGGATTATGATAAGAGTTGTACAAGCCTCCAATAAAATGATTTTTAAAAATCACTCAGATTAACACTCCAAATGAAACATTCATAATATGCATCACTTATAAAGTTTGGAATATACTAAGTTCTAGAAAATATATTTATTTCATATTGTGCACAAATTGGCAGCTAATATGTAAAGAAAATAAATCAGTTCATAGGTTCTGATTAAAATAAATGACAGTTTTTAAAGCTTTCTTATCTTGAGCACCATTTTATAGCAAGTAGCTATATTTTACAGCAATCTTCTTGGAATGGGTACAATTGCTCAAAATTATCACCTAGTCATACAAGTGAAAATTTTGACTTCGTCGATCAAAGGAATCTGGAGTTGTCTTGTGACTTTTTGTTTTGTTTTACACATCTAAAATATTTATTTATTTTAAATTATTCAGTACAAAATTATGGATTTCCAAGAATTTTTCATTCTGCAGAGTTCTCTAATGTGGGTGAAAGCTCTCTAGGCTGATCGTGTTGCTGTTGTTATTGGGTATCATCGAGTTGATTGTAACCCATGCGACAGAACTTCCTCATCAGGTTTTCTTGTTAGTAATCTTTATGAAACAGACCACCTGGTCTTCCTCTCTTTGTACTTCTAGGCTGCTGCTACGTTAGTAGATTTTGTACACACACACAAGACAAACTACTTTTATGATATTTTTGAACACAGACATTTTTATGAGTGGTATCATTTTGCTCCTGAGGTGGTGTTGCATTTCTGATATCCAATTGTATTCAATCGGGCACTTTCATAAGAATAACCTTTAATTTTACGTGAAGCTATTTAGTCAGCTTTTCTCTAATGTATATTATTAAATTTACTTATTCATAAATAAAAGTTACAAAAAAGGTGTACATTCATAGAAAAGTCAATGTTTTATACTTTAATGTAACATTTTGAAAAAAGATAAAATAATACTGTTTGAAATAAGGACCATGAAATCAAGTAACAATTTTGCAACACTGGAGCCCCCCACTACCCCTCCCCGACCCACATCCCTGACTATATTTATAGATTTACTTCCTGCATTCTTATATGAAATATAAAGTAGTATTTTTTTAAAAAGGAAAACTATCAGGAAATATAACCCAGTAATCACAGTTTGATGAATCTGAAATGTGTACTTCCAATTGAGAGATACAATTGCAAACAACAGCCTGCACTGAAGAAACAGAGAAAAACTGACTGAGGAGGTACAATAGATTTGAGTGTGCCTTTGGAAACTAGGGCTGTAATCCTGTTTGTAAGAAAATAAAGAATGGAAGTATTGCTCTAAACTCCACTGAATCACAGAAGCCGAACACAATGCAACAAACGTGACATCCTTTTCTCAAATTGGCACAAGTCTCATTGAGTCTGGCGATTCAATTACCCTCTGAACCTGGAAAGCACCCCCTCCTGAGTGGGGGTCCACCAGCACAGCAATGTGGGACAACCTACATTGTACACAGCCAATAAATATCTAAAAAGCTGCAGGTTTTCAAGAGAAAGAACCTCTGACCTTTTATGATTGCTGCAGTGGTTTCTTCAACAAAACACTGCTTACAATGGTTTCCTAAATGCCTGACAAAAGACTGTATTTTCAGGACAATATCACCAAATATCTTATATGGAAATCCGCTTAAATAAACACCTAAGTGCATCGCTTCATTAGATAGCAAAGAATCTGAAACAGAATGAGGCTTTCCTAAAATAGACATGATTCTGAGTTTGCTTAGACATTTCAAAGCATATGATTTTTCCTTGCCTTTATTTCTTAAATTTCTGTAGACTGTGCGTGAATGAAGCACATACTAATTAGATCCTGAAATAAATATTGGGTCTTAGACTACCGCGAGGACACGTAGCTAGCACAGATTTCTCAGAACAGTGGCTCATCATGGCACTCATGATGCCTCGTGCTTGATGTCAAGAGCAGTACATTCACTATCAGGAGGAATACATTTTAAAACACACTGACTAAAATTCTGGGTATATTTTTATTAATTAGGAGTTAATACACACATTCCATAGTTCAATCAAGTGAAACAAGACTGTCCAATTGCTACCACATTCAGTTTCAAAACACTCTTTTTCTACGGGAGTCCTTGACATTGTCCCTCCTGTACCCTACCACCACCACTACCCCTTGCCCTCCAAAACCCTTCTTCTCACTGCTGGACCTAAAGGTTCATCAATCCTGAACTTCTTTTACCAAAAAACACACAACGCAACTTCAAGAGGCTAACCTCCATGACATAAGACCTCTGAGATACACCCAAATATGAATGAACAAAACAAGACATAAATACAGAAAATATTGAAAACCTGATCAGGTCCAGTCTGCATCAGAGGGGGATAGACTGACAAAGTTTTAACTTTTTGAATCAGCTTGTGCCTTTGATCTTCTATACTCATCTCTCCAAATGCTCTCCATTTAATAACCCTTTACCTTCCATCCCTCAATTGTGGATAAAGGGAGTTAACCAGAGACTTGATTTTATGTAGTTCCTATAAGTGAATCTCAGGTTCCCACTGTCATCCATAGCCTTCTACAAACCGGATTCTCACAATTTATGCTGATACTAATGACTCCTTCAATTTTGGATTATATGATTTACAATCTTTCTGTGACTGATGCTGCTGTGTTTCTTCCATGTGGGCTTAGTTGACATTTCATTAGATGTCTGCTTGTTCGGGGACAAGCCTTTGAGACCCCAGACATTATTTTATCTGATAGCCTGGAACCATCTAATTTCTTCACCATCTTTGCTATAACACCCATATCTTCTGTGTTCCTTTCTGAGAGTATCAAGTAGGGTGATGGTGTAAGAACTAATTGTTACGTTGGAGCTAGGATTTAGTGTGAGCCCAAACCCATTTCTGGATCTATGCTTGTTTTTTTTCTTTTATTATTACTTGGGAGTTAATACATATGTCATATCTTTCCAAAGTTGTCAAGGAGTTCGGGAATTAAAAGTATGTTTGAAACCAATTGTGGAAGCAATTGCACAATTCTACTTGAAGTGATTAAACTGTGGGAAATTCTGAGCATTTTGCTTCATTCCTTTTCTGACGAGTCCATAATTAAACAAGTAAGATTTCAAGTAAGTCTTACTAAGTCATGTTTACCCACACGTTGTGATGGCAGATGATCAGGATATTATAGAGTGAATAAATGAGATCCATTTCCATCCAAGATGAGTCCTGGCAATTGAAATTTATATTCTGAAGGCATCCTAATGCAATAAAGACAAGTGTCTCTGCCTCGCCTCTGTGTTAAAAGTTCTGCCACATCCCTGCAATCACTACCTCTTCCCCATTCACCAGTCTCTATTTACGTAACCATATGATTGATTAAGGAGAAGGCAATGACTACTTGTAATATTTTTACACATTAGTGCTAAGCATTCTAAAAGGAAGGAAATTCTGTGTCCTTATGGGAAGAGTTCCTTTAGTTTTTGCTCATTGATTAAAAATTCTTGGCCAATGTTCATAATGCTCCTTTTTCAAAATTTAGATATTATTAACTAATTATTCTAACACTCAACCATTAACTTATTGACTGAAAAATAGGTTTACACTGACTCAAATATCATCTATTTCCACATAACAATTTTTAAACAATTATATTTTCAGACAAACCATATCACAGCTTGGAAGATCTTGATTAATAAAGGCTCCATACTTTCAAATGCTTATTAACATTGTATAATAATATTATATGTATAATTATATATTATGCATAATATAATATACAACATATTTACAGTACTAGTGTATTATTGTATTTAATATTATATTTTATCATGATATACAATATTGTTATATTATATAATAATATAATATTTATAATCATATATAATAATTATATTGTTATATATAACAATGTATATAATAATATTATAAATGGTTAAACCAAACTTAGGAGGATAAGCTTCATGTATTAATAACAGATAATAGTGAGTAAGCATCAAATACTGTTATTAACTTGCATTTGTAGAGTTCTGAATATACCTTGTTTGCAATACTTGTGATGAATGATTTGATGTCCAAATTAGTTGGGCAACTCTTCTGACAGGGAGCATCGGCACATTTCAGACATCTAAGGAAGAAAATATGTGGGTTAGGGAAAAATATAATGTGGCCAGGAAATTATATGACTCATATTTTACTATATCCCACTCAGACCAATCGTCCAACAAGATAAGTAAAAATGCAGGACTTTCAGATATAACTCATACAGCATTTTCAGATACATTTCATAAAGCTTATAAAGCAATAAAGTCAGTCTATTTATTTTAACTGCATTAAATCTCTGCATTTCATGTTGTAGGCACCTCCTCAATGTATAAACTAGCACCACGCTGACAAAACTGCTCCTCTTTTCAGTGTTCCTTCTAGACGGTAAGTAGATCAAAACCATTTAAAACACAGCATTTACTCCATTTTCGAAGTCCTGCTGACTCAACAATAAAGAGCTTAGCTATTAACTGAGTGGTTGGCAGTTTCAACCAACCTAGCAGCGCCACTTGAAAAAGAATTGGCCATCTGCTCCCATAAAGATGACAGGCTAAAAGACCCAGTGGAACAGTTTTCACTGTCACGTGGGGTCACAATGAGTATCAATCAACTGGATGGCACCTGGCGACGACAACATTCACTTATTTGTTTAATGCCTGTCCATACTGACCATACTAAGGCCATACAGCTTTTACAATAGAAGTTCTGATGCCTTGATGTCACCACTCATCTGTTATTTTATAGTACTACCATGGTGGCTTTTATGTTGCTGGGATGCTGATGCTAGGTTATCAGTATTTCAAATACCAGCAGGATCAAGCATAGTGGACAGGTTTCAGCAGAACTTCTACAAAAAAAGAGAACAGGAGGACAGGTATGATGATTTACTTATTTTAAAACATTGGTCAGTGAGAATCTAAATCGAAGCAGAGGACCTTCTATAGCAAGAGAGGATTCGCCAGAAAGGTTGGCAGGTACTCGAAACACGACAGAGGAAACATCGCCTTCTCACAGTAGAATGGGCCTGAAGGGCATAGTGAGGTAAGCTCGCGGGAGGATGTTCCGATGATAATGTGGTATGACTGAGAGGGAGAAGAAATAGCAGCAAACATCCATTATAATGAAGTATAAATCCAGGAAATTGGAAGTTTTCAAAATCCTAGGGAGCTTAAACGTTCCTATTCTTGAGCCCATTGTTGCAGCCACTGTGTCAATGCATCCCCTCAAGTGTCCCCTCTTTTTCCTTGCCCCTGTACTTTACCATGCATGATGCTCTCCTCCTGACAATATGTCAATGTGGAATATGTTATACTATGCCAACAATGATAAAGAGACTAGGCACTGAATTCATCATAAAAAGAATAAGATCTATCCTAGAAGATACAGCTATATATGATAGAATGTTATCCTTATGTCAAAAAAGATTAGTTAATAGAACTATTATTCAAATTTATAAAACAACTAGGAAAACCAAAGAGGAGGAAACTAAAGGCTTTTTACCAATTTCTGATGTCTAAAGCTGATAAAAGCTGCGTTTAAGATACACTGTTAATCATTTTTGATTGGTATTCAGAAGTTGGAAACACAGAATAATTGCTGTTAGGTGCCATCTAGACAGTTCAGACTAAGTGATCTGTACACCAGAACCAAACACCACCCCTCCTGCACCATCCTCACAATGGTTGTTAGATTGCAGCCAGCCATTGTGTCAACTCATCTTATTAAAGACCTTCCCTTTTATTTTAACAGAGTCATGTCCTTTTTCAGGGACGAGTCTGGATTGATAACATATCTACACGGACCTTTCCATATGGTGTACACAGGAATCAAATCACTACATCTGTAGAAAGAAATGATAAAGAAGCTCAATATCATCAGTCAGAAGAAGACGAAGGTCTCACTGTGAATCAGAGAATCAATTGCTTTTATGTAGTCCTTTGAGAAGCTGAATAAAAGTAAAAAAAAAAAACATGGAGACAAAGTATAAACTTTAGTATACTCCACTAGGAATAAGTAACCATCTTAAAAATAATTGTGCAGCAATATCATGAAGGCAATGACATTGTTGTGGGTAGGAGGCAGGGGGAGAGAGGGGGAACCCCTCGCAAGGTTGGATATATAGCCCACCACCCAGGGGAATGAATAACAGAAATGTGAGGGAGGGAGGACCACAGACAGTGTAAGACATGAAATAACAACAATACTATATAATTTATCATGGAGTCATGAGAGTGGGGTGGTGGGGGAGGGAGGGTAAAAAGAGGAGCTGATACCAAGGCCTCAGGTAGAAAGAAAATATTTTGAAAATGATGATGGCAATATATGCACAAGTGTACTTAATACAAATGAATGATGGATTGTCATAAGATTTTTAAGAGCTCCACAATACATAAAATTTTTAAAAAGGAGAAAATATAAATAAATAAATGTGGCACACCAAACACTAACGACCAATGGCTAGATGAGTTGTGGAGTAAGATTAAGTATATCATACATGAAGAAAAGAATGGTTATTCAAAAAACAGGTAAGAAAAATGAACAAAATGGATGTCCAATGAGATACTGAACCTTGCTCTTGGATATGCTGTTACGGAAAGAATAATATCTTTATGCCATGTTAGGTGTCAAGAAGTCAGTTCAGACTCATAGCTACCCTTTGAGCACAATAGAATGAAACACTTCCCATGTCCAGAGCCATCCTCACAATTATTCCTGTTCCTGAGCCCACTGTAGTAGCCAGTGAGTCAATGGCATCTCCTCAAGGGCCTCCCTCTTTGATGCTGCCTTTCTATTTTACCAAGCATGATGTCCTTTTCCAGAAATGGTCTCTCCTGATAACATATCCAAAGTATGCAAGGCAAAATTTTGCCATCCTTTCCTCTAAGGAAGACTCTGGCTGCCCTTCCCCAAGATAGATTGTTTGGCCCTTTTAGCAGTCCATGGTACTTTCAATATTCTTCTCCAGCACAATTCAAATGCATGGACTCTTCTTTGATCTTCCTTATGCAATGTCCTGAACATAGTGTAACTTAAGTCAGTGGAAGAAACTGAAACAAAAGGGCTAACTACAAGATCACCAAGGTCAACTCAAGAAGACAAAAGAAATAATTATAGGGAAATTAGCAACTATTTTGAGTTAGACTCTCAAAATGGAAGTGCATGACTGACTGTTTTTAGCTAAAAGAATAGAAGAAAATTCGAGCCTTGAATTGCAATATTGAGAATTATATTAGCAAAGTATTGAAAGATGCAGGAAGCATCAAAAGAAGATGGGAGGAATATAAAGAATCAATGTACCCAAAACAATTGGTGGCTAGTCAGTCATTTCAGGAGATTAGTAAAGGAAAACGTCCAACCTGCACCACAGTCATTTTCATGAAAATGAGGCTTCAGGAATAGGGGGATCACCAACTGAGATGGTGCAACAAGCATATGCATCTCCGAAGAACTCACTCCTCCACGTGAAGACATTGGAAGATATCTACCTGGACTGAAAGGGGTCCATATTTGTGCCCATTCAACAGGATGTTGAACACACAAGCACAATTTTGTTGAATATAATTCATAAATGGTTATAACAGTATACAGAAAGGGAAATGCCATAAATCCTAGCTGGCCTCAGAAAATGTGAAATGAGAGACTTCATTGCTATTGTTGACAGTTCTCGGATGAAAGCAAAGAACACCAGACAGATGTTGAATTGTGTTTTTTTGACTATGCAGTAGCATTCCATTGTGTGGATCATAAAAAATCATGGATAGCACTGGATAAAATGGGAATTCTAGAAACAATTGTGCTCACATGGAGACTGCATTGAGCAAGAGGCAGTCATTTGATGAAATCAATGGATAATGCATAATTTAAAATCAGCAGTGTTAGATTTTTATTCTTTACCGTACTTATTCAATCTGTATATTTATAAAATAATCAGAGAAGCTTGATTATATGAAGAATGCAGCATCCAAATTGGAGGAAGTCCCATTAAAAACCTGCCATGTGCAGATGACTTAACTCTGCTTACAGAAAGAATACTTACACAAACAAAGACCACAGCCTTTAGTATGGATTTCAACTCATCATAAAGAAAACAAAAATTCTCACAACTAGATCAATAACCAACATAGTCATAAATAGAGAAAATATAGAAACTGTCAAGATGTCATGTTACTTGTATCCACAATAAACATCCAGAGTTTCTGCAGTCAAGAAATGAAACAACACATTGCATTGGGCAAATCTGCTGTAAAAACTGTAAGCAGTTAAAAAGCAAATACGTCACTTTCAGAATCGAGCTGCACTTGACCCAGCCATGGCATTTTCTTTAACCTCATATGCATGTGAAACCTGGACAATGAAAAAGGAAGACTGCAGAAAAATTGATGCATTTTAATTAGGGTGTTGGCCAAGAATATTGCATATGCAATGGACTGCCAGACGAATTAACAGCTTTGTCTTGGAAGAAGAACAGTAGTCAGAATGTATCTTAGAAGTGAGAATGGCAAGATTTGATCTCATAGACTTTGGACATAGTATCGACAAGCACCAGTTCCTGGAAAAAGGGCATTGCATTTGGTAAAAGAGTTTTTCCTCTCACTGTCATCGAGTCAATGCTCACTCATAGGGACACTAAAGGACAGGACAGAACTGCCCCTGTGAGTTTCTGAGAGTGTAACCCCGCAGGAGTAGAAAACCTGTTTTTCTCCCTCAGAGCTGTTGGTAATTTTAAACTGTTGACCTTGCAGTTAGCAGCTCAATGCGTAACCATTTTGTTGTCATCATTACATGCCATTGAGTCACTTCTGCCCCCTAACAAACCCATGCACAATAGAAGCAAAGACTGCCCTGTCCTGCAACACCCTCATAATTGCTCCTATTCTTGAGCCCATTGTTGCAGCCATTGTCAATGCATCTCCTTGAGTGTCTTCCTTTTACATTGCCCCTTCACTTTACCAGGTTTGATGTCCTTCTCATGTCCAAAGTATGTAAGAAGAAATTTCCCCATCCCTCTAAGGAGCACTCTGACTATAACCCTTAGACACTAGAGGGTCATTAAAAAAAAAGAAAACTTTCAACAATATGGAT